TTAGCCATACTATTGTCTATTTCTTTCACAAGTACTTTTAATAAGTTTTTATTTTCCATTGTATGTATCCAAATGAATAGAGTGTAAACTGTAAGTGCCAAATCCCATAATTACTGACATTCTTTTATGGACAGTGAAGAGACATTAAAGTAGAATGCAATGTCAATAGTAGATTAAACCACCCTACTACAATCATTTGCATTTCTGCCAGTAAAATTCAATCTCATATATACACACATACACAATTAGTCATATACCTTAAAAAAAAAAAAAAACAAAACAAAAAGAAAACAACAACAACAATGGTTGAATAAGTAATTCTGTCCTTATCTACATATATGGCTCATATCATTCCTCTTGTTTGTAGTCACTATTTTAATAAAACAACCAAATTCCTTTCAGAATCATTTAAACATTTTTCAAAACACCATTTTTAAAGCTATCAAAATTTTATAGAGTACTCTAAAACTTTTGTACTACTAAAATCATAGATGGTGTTTTCATACTCTCATATAAAAAAAAATCATGCTGAAGTGGTAAAGTTTAGTGAATTTGTAATTTATTTGTAACAGCTTGATTATTCAAATGCATTTAACTTTGTAAGATCTTGGCTTCCCCACCCAGTCTTAAGCTAAACTTGTGCATAATTTGCATTGAATCTTAAATCAAAATTCACAGCATAATGCATAAAACCAAACATTAAAATCATTTTATTCCCATTTTAATGACTTAAAAATCAATAATGTCCATTTTGTATAATTATATTACATCTTAAACAAATACAAACCAACATAAAAAAGAAATATTTCCATTCAATCACTATTTCAGTTTATTAGCGATTAGCAATTTTCAGAGAACAAGGTAACCCTCACCAACCCAATTGAAGGAATAGTGAAATCTGATTAGGGGAAAATGTTCCAAACATTCAAGTGGGTATAAATGACTGTGTGAACTAAAATACTTAAGTGTTATTACAAGTACTAATTAACCAGTAATGGAACTGTAAATGTGCTTATAAGAATTTTATAGTTGATAGTGTTATAATGAAGTGGAGGTGCTGACTAAAAGATATGGTACCAGACTAATGAACAATATGATCTTAATCTTTAACATTACACTTTATTTCACTCCAATACTTTGCCAATTACTCTCAGCCAGTGTGTGGTACAGCCTTGTGGCTTCCTTCATTCCAATGTGTGGACCTTACATTCTTGCCTGTGATGTCTGAGAGACAACACAACTCTTCCCTGGGGCTGTTGTTTATATATAATTTTTTTTTTTCTCTGTTATTCTGCATTCAGAAGCTAGAATTACCCTCAGGTTAACTCTACACTTGACCCTCTCCATCTAGTGTGATATTGAATGCAATGATCTGGCATGACAAACATTACACTAGAATATATTTGTATTGATTTTCTTAGAATTTTGAGGAAATATAAATCGGCCTAAACTTCTTGAATTTAAAAAAAAAAAAAAAAAAAATCAAGCTTATAAACACAAACCTCTATTTAAATCAATGTTTTTTTTTCAATTAGTAACAAAAAGGACATGATTTTGAAATGGTCACATTTTCTTTTTAATAATGTACTATACTTTAATTCAGTTGAGGTTAAATCATGTAAATAAGATTACTTAAGTGACATTAGGAAATTGACACACTTATCACAAAACTGAAGCACAAAACTGAAGCACAAAATTTACAATTTCCTTCAGCAAAACTTGGAATAATTGGGGGGGGGGGTCTGAACAAACAATGAGACCTGCCACATGATTGAGTTTTTTTTTTTTTTTTTTAAATGGCAATGAAAAATTATAATTTTTTTCTTTTTTTTTTTCATGTTTAAAGAAAAAGATAATTCAAACTAACAAAATGATCTAGGTAATTGATACAAAAAGAAAATCTGTGAAGTCTACTCCATTGAGCGAAATAAAGGGTTCAGTTTGACATTCCAACCACCTGAAGAAGGCCTGAGCATACAATGGTCAACACATTGTAATAAATATGGCAACAAAGATGGAGGACAATAGTCTGAATAATGTAGTGTACATAATACCTCATCTCAGAAATATAGACAAAATTTTGAAGATTCTAAAAAGGTTAAAAAATATATAATTTAAATGCTAAAAGAAAAAAAAAACCTTTTGGTCTTTCCTCTTGATAAAGATTTTGTTTGATGGTGAACTGTTTTTATTAAGTTTGGGACATTTTTTCATTCTTAATTTTTTTTTCTTTTAGAGAGAATCTAGTATAAAAAGCGCTAAAAAAAAAATGATTTTCTAATAAGTGGGCGTGGGTAACAATTTAGGTACTTCCAAAGATTCGCTAAAGAATGAGCATACTACACGAAAAAAAAAAAAAAAAAAAAAAAAAAAAAAAAAAAAATAAGAGTTTTAAAAAAAAAAAAAAAAAAAAAAAAAACACCTTTGTTAATTCGAAGGTTCTAAGTATTTAATTATTAATTTCATAATTAAAAAATCCTTTTTGGTCTTTCTTTCCTCTTAAAGATTTTGACGATAAAACTTTGTTTTTATTAAGTTTGGCCCATTTTTATTTTCATGTATGCTCATTTTTTAGCGAATCTTTGTAGGTAACTACTGCTTATAAATCATTACAAGCAAAACTTAGAAAAATAAAGAATCTATTGAAAACTTAAAACTAAAAGCCTGACAAAGGATCCATAAAGAATTGAGGTGGGTAAATTAAATTTTGGATCTTTAAAATCTAGGATGTATTTTTGTTTCTGTCCATCATTATTATTTGTGCAAAAGGTGCAACATTTGAAGTTGTAGGCTATATAATCTAAAAAAAAAAAAAAAAAAAAAAAAAAAAAAAATCGTGTTTAAACTAAAGCATTTAGCAACTTTTTCCCATTTAAGCTGTCAATGTTGCAACGTTATTTTAATTCCTAAGAAACACGAAGAGGTAAGACATTGGAAACAAAATAGTTTTATCAATGCTATTCATGGGGAAGACATCCTGACAAAAATGTGACAACCTGCAGGCCTTAATAATTTTATTTTGAATGTACACGAGGTTAAAATTAATTTTTAAAAGGTATATTTCAGTTTTTATTTATGGTAAATGTTTGAAACTTAAATTATTGCATATGACGCTATTATAATATTTTTTTTTTCTGATGCGGGACTTTCAAAGGTGAGTGTAGAATATGAGGCCGGATAAAATAACTATAAGGGAGGTAATTCAATATTTGACATGCATAAATTGTTTAGGACGTTAAAGTGAACAAAACTAGTTTTCCTTCCGTGTTATTTCGGCGTTTAAGATAATCGCAGTCCAGTTTGAGATCTCATTATTATTATTAACACCCTTTCTTTTTTATCACACGCATTCACGAGAAAATGAAGGATTTACTCAATAAAGCAACTTTAAAATCCTTTATTTATTGTCTATCATTTGTAAATAAAAAATGTCCTGCTTTCAAATAAAAATTAACCTCTATAATTAGTTGCCAAAGAAAGTAGGAACATACTTGAAACAATTATTATCCAAGAAGACCATCATGAAAATAAATTTATGCGAATAAATCTTTAACTGTACCAGGTCTGCGGGGTTTAACATTTTATTCTCAGGGGAAAAATTGCTTAAATTAAAATTAGTCTCCTTATTGTTGAAGTGATAAAATATTTGTTCGGGATGATAAGAAAAAAAAAATGAAATTTAGAGAAAAAACACTCGGTCAAGATAAACGACTTATTTGGGTGCGGGACAACTTCAAAAATCGTACGGATTTTTAACGACTGGAGAAAAAAAATCCTCAAACTGAACTGTTTATTGTTCACAGTGCGATTCGTGCTAAAATTGTCTTGTAAATGTCCAATTATGTTAATAAAATGTACAAAAAAAAAGTAAAAAGAGCGCGATTTAAATATAAAAAAAATGTTTTTAGAGATTTCGTAGCATCTTTGTTAGTGAACTACTATGTTCGTATAACACTGCCATTGAGTTTTAAAAGAAAATAGCGTGCTCATTTATTTACCCATCAACAAAAATCAGGATCGAGTCAAGTAATAAAATTTAAAAATACAATCTGGACGTGTTTACCATGATTACACAATGAACAATAATTCTGATAAATAAAAATGTTTATTATATAAGTATTTTTCGCACTCCTTTGAACGGAAAAATATTTTGGTTCAATCTTCAATCAGGTTTAACATCTGTAATTGTGAAATTATACATAACTTTCAAGAGAAAAAAGAAGTCAGATAAAAAGAAAAAAAAAAGATTTTTCATAAATTCTGAAAACAGTTTATTTTTTTTTATCATAGCCGGTTTCATCGATGAAAAATATTTAACATTCAACAAAAAAAGTTTAGATTTCTTAAATCTTACAGGAGTAAAAACCTAAAAGTCATTTAAATTTGCTAATATTTCACATGTTTAAAATAAGAAAAAAAAAAAAGCTTGACAAAAATTAATGAAAAATACTTACGTAATAATTCAGATAACTTAAGATGTAAAAATCTTTTTTTCTCTATATTGTTTTTACAATAATGTGATTTACTTAATGATAAATTCGACCGATAAAGAATTAATCCTGCCATAAAATAATTATTTTTCATTGTTTTCCAGCTTTTAAGAAAATCCGCCTTCTTGTGGAGTGCGTGGTTTAATTTTTTTCTCGGCTACTATAAAAGATCAAAGCTATCAGAAACTTAAAGATTAATTCACACAAGATATTTTTAATGCTCAGTCTATAGAAAAAATGAATAAATATTTACTGTCCTTTTCTTTTGCTTACATAACAAAAACCGCGAAAAGGATTACTTACGGGCAAACGAAGAAAAAAAATTAGAAACGATGTGTTGTGTACATAACTCCTTGTAGAAATGTCTTAACATAATCGTAAAATGCGGATAACAACAAAATTATCATCTCCATAGAAAAAAAATAAGGTTCGCGATATGAACTATAATGTTTAAAATTCCCGAGCAAAAGAAAAAATATATTGAAAACCAAATCCCCTCGTACAACTCACCTGTGAAAGTATGGCCACTGGGAAAAAAAACGACTTTTACAAAATGGCGTCCAAATGGCTTGTATTCAAAAATTGTATTTTCAACTTCCGGTTAAAGAGATTAGGAAAACGAACGGAAAACTTTTATTCTGTTCTGATAAGTTAATGTTGATATAGCAAATAATAACTTGGAATTATTTTTTCTACACAGACAATAAAAATAATTTTACTCCGGAAGAAAAAAAATGTTCTAAGCAAAAACTCAACTTTAAAAAAATGTATACACCTATATTTCCAAATTTTATCATTTCAGAAATAACTATCTTTCTACATTAAAGAATTAGCGCCAAAAATGTTAACAAAGTTTAAGAATTACTTCCTTTCACTGAAAATGTGTTTCCTGGTTAAGAAAATCTATTAATTCCTTTATACCACTATTCCCATAAAATGAACAGTTGTTCGCTTATTCGTAAATGCTGCTATTCTTCGACGACGCAGCTTTTACTGACGCCCTCAAGAGTTGTCTTTCCTTGTTTTTCACACGGGAACTTTTCGTTTAGTTTTCTAATATCTCAACTTTTTTCAAACTGGGAAAATTATATTTTTTTTAAAACTCCGGAATCAGTGGAATATTTCACATTTTTAAAGGCTACGAATTGTTGGAATATTTTACATAAATATTTGCTAATAGTGTAACTTTTATAGGTACCAACGAAATAGATGTTTTTTTTTTTTTCCCCCGAAATGAAAGCAAAAATCGCTACCTCATGTTTTGCCAAAGATCAGCAGGGCAACCAAAATTTTCATTAATGAATGAATTGGATACTGGATCGGTTATTTCTTTAAAGAAATTTGTTAAAATACTGTTGGGGGTCTGTTTCACACCTACAACCCATATTTTCTAGTATCTCGTGTATACTTTTTTAATTTTTTAGGGTGTTCGCGAATTTTTTTACACTAAAGAAAAATCCCTTATTTTATTTCACTATATTTCAAGTGCGAATAAAAATTCGTCCGGAACTGAGAATTAGTGCTTGCATCTAAAACACATTCTTCATGGAAATCGACAGAAAAAATTTACACTTTAGTCTTTACTCTTTATTTTTTATTTTTTTTGAAATGCGATTTTGAAATTCACCCCGTTGCTATTTGTCACAAGTGTTTTCAAAGACATATTTGAAGATTCAATAAAGCTTTAAGTTAAAAAATGCTATGTTCGAGTGTCAACCATTTTTGAAAGAATAAATAAAATTTTATTTTATTCTTTTTTTTTTTTTTTTTTGTAAAAAGGAAATGATTTTGATTTCTCGCCTTTCTAAAAAGCATTTTTTTTTTTTTTTAACAGAGAATAAAAAAATTATTCTTATTAATTATTATTAGGATTATGATAATTTTACGGACAAAATAAAAAAAAAGGTATCACTGAGGTACCATTGAATAATTAAAGAACTCAAAGCTAATTCAATCAATTAACATTTCAACTGTTCTTTACGAAATTTGCTCATTTTTTGTTAGTAACAATTCCATTTATTTTACATTTTCTTAAATCCAGAATAATTAAAAAAAAACATTGGTTGAAATTAAATATTTATGGCGTGAAACAGTAAGAAAATAAAAAATATTCAAAGCGACGAATTAAACTAAAAAAAAAAAAGAAGTATCATTTAACAAAAAAAATACTTAAAAAAGCAAAATTATTCATTAACTAAGTTTACTAAAAAAAAAAAATTATATTCTTAAATTATTCGTTAAAGGTTAAATATAATTTATTTTTTAACATAAATAATAATTTCTTGATCATTGCCCTATTGGTATTCTGTATTGCTTTCATTTTTATTTATTCTCGCTTTTTAAGTCAGGGGTAAAAAAAATTATACAGTTTCTTTGTATATTCTGACCTCACATATTTCTGTGCATAAATATTATTTTTATTATGCTTTAAAAAGTAAGCATATTACTTTTACAAAATCCAGTTAGTTAATTAATAATTTATTAAATGACTTCAAAACACATCTCATGGACAAATGTTGGAAATGTAAATTTGTGGTTTACACATTACGTATTTTGTCTATAATGATGATTTGAGAAGTGACAAGTGATTTAAAAAAATGCCTAAAACTTTAATTACATACACAAATTAATTTTTCTTTTAATATGGATTAGCTATAGGCTATTATTGTTGAAAGAAGATATTTTTTTAGGAAGTTTATGTCAGTACTTTATTTTCCTTTTATTTATTTATTTTTTTTAAATCAACAATAGCAAAACAAACACAGAATTGTATATTTCTTACTGACTTGATTGGAAAGTAAAAGCCTTTAAAAAAAAAACAAAAAAAAAAACATTTTACTGTAAATCACATTATGGAGGTGCAATTTGGCTTATTTGGTAAGAATACCAGAATCATCAAAGTTCAAACATCCATCATTTGTGTTGCAAAAACCATATAATCAAATCCTCTAACCACTAAACTGTACAACATTATCAGTCATCAGTATCTTTTTGTTAATACTTCCTATAGGTAGACTGGGAAGTGTGGATGATTTTGATAATGGTATATACAAATCTGTCTTATTCTGCTATATTGTAAAAATTATTTTTAATAAAAAACATTAAAATTGAATGAAAGACTAAGTGTTGGAATGTGTAAAAATTAATATAAAAATTATTTTTAGTAAAAAAGCTAATATTAAATTGCATGAAAAACAACTTAAAAGTATAATGTTACAAACACTTTTTTTTCTTCAAAGAAACTACCAAAATGAAGCTACACTGTTTAAACATTCTGTGGCAAAGATTTGCATAATGAAATTTAACTCTGATTTTGTCAAAAAAAACACCAAATTGAAGTTTATAAGTGGACACAGTTTCATAATGGGGATAAAAAGTATACATTCCCTAAGGAGTTAATTTTTGATACAGTTGGAGCTACTGTTTTGCTATAGAGAAAGGGAAATTTTGGCTGCAAAGTCAGAAAAGCTTTGACCACTCATATCTCAACATCCAATCATAAAATTTATTTCAGTAAACTACACCAATGAAAAAGCTTCAAAAAAATTTCAAATATATCTAATACCTGTCACCCAGGAGAAAGATTTTGACCATCTCAGGCAGGCAAAACTTAGAAGAGGTAAAGGGCTGTTATCTAGGTTGAAAAAACTACTATAATTGTTGTTACCACTCTTACTACTACTGTTGCTGCTTCAGTTGCTGAAGAAGAATAAAGAAAAGGAAGAACACTTAAAAATCTAAAAAAAAAAAAAATTTCTTTACAAAGAATGTCTTTTTCTAAATCATAAATTTTTATCTCATTTTAATGTCTTTTCTAAACCCGTGGGAGTTTAGCCCATATTTAAGAATGCCTATTCCAAACATCTGAATACTTTGTTTGAAGGATCCAGACAACCAGCTTCTCTTGAAATTGTTCATCCTTTCGCATCCCTTCGACATTTTGAATTGTGAACTTGAAAAGAAAGTAAATTTCTTTTGTTGCTAAGAAATTGATTTATATAAACTGTTGCTCTAAAAGAAAGTTGTTAAAATTCCTTTGTCATTAAGGAAAAAAACTGTTAATCTGCCTTGATAGCTTAAAGTGCACAAGGGAAATTTTCTGCAAGGCCTATATTGTATTTTGTACAATCTGTATATTGTAAAAATATTTTGTCATTTTAATAAGTAATTGTTTCTTTACAAATTTTACTTTTGGCAAGAGTCTTGTCTTTTTTGTTGGTGTCTTCAAAAGCACTTCTAAGAAGAAAGATAAAAGACTTGAAATTTTCTTCCTCCTCTTACCCCCTTCTTTCTTTTTTCTGTTTAATATGTTAGGTTCAACAGGAATTGATATTTTAACTGGAAAAGAATTACATGTCAATATTGACTGAAAAAAATACAGTTATACTAGTTCCAATTGACTTTTGGCACATATATATTGTAACAGGTTGCATGAGAATACAAAATGATGATTTTAGGTGATTAGAAATTAAATAAATCATAAAAACTCCCTGGGGGATGTCTTAAATAATTAGGAAGTAAATGAAAAAAGAAACAGAAAATTAAAATTATATCAAATTACATGCAATTATTGAGGAATCCAAGAGAGTTGAACCCTGAACAAATTTGGTGAAACTAATTAACTTTGGAATTTCTCAAAGGTGGTCTGATATGGCTAAATATTTACTTGGGTTTTCGAGTTGAAATCTGATTCAAAAGGGACAAATTCTTAATACTACAATGCTAAAGTCATAAAGTAATGCTCATTAAAAGTTGGAGAAATGTTGTTTTGCTCAAGCCATGTGTTTTTTCCTGGATAATAGACATTGAGATAATCCAGATAAAGGTGGAAGTTTTTGCAGACATCAATATCAAAAATGAGAAAAGGGTTGTCCAGGAGAGTCACTTATATAAACTGGTAAAGCATTTACCTTTGGGAGTTACTGGGAAGAGCTTGAATGACATGCTTGAATTCCCTGCTGCTGGAAGGTAGAAGTATACACACATCCTGTGGATAGAATGGACACAGACAAAAAGGAATGTTACTGTCGCAAAACACGCTGTAGCACTGGGACAGCATTTACAACTACATGTTTGAGAGAAGCCAGAACAAGGAGAATTGAAGCGATCCTGAAAACAAACTCCTCAGAAATCCTCAAATCGCTATTTTGCTATATAAAATTGCACACGTTTGTGTAATATTCCCTGTTAATAAATTATTGTTAGAATCTTTGATGTGGTCATTCGTGATTGAAGAGATTTCCTGCCTAGCTTCAACATTAAAGAACCTGCCTTGAGGATCCCATGAGAAACAAGTTACCACACTCCAGGGAGGGAGTTAATAACCCCTTCACAAGGAACACAACAAACCACTAGGTTGAAAAATAGACTGATTTTAGAGTGCATTAAACAAACTGGAACCACTGACAGAGATGTATGTTTAGTCACTGTCTATTTATGTTGGATTCAATGGCCGGAAGTGACATGTTCAGTGAACAGGCTTCGGGCTGGGTCTCTACATAATAAACTGTTTATGAGTAAGAATGAATTTAAATTTTATTGATGGAACATTTTTAATATTTGAAAATACAAATGTAAACAACTTCAAACTCTTTATGAAATTAGCAAATTTGTTGGGTCAGTTTTCAAACAATCTCTCAATATCTCTTAAGGAAATTTTAATAAAATCATTTTAAATTTTACGATATTTTCCCAAATGTCCCTTTGGTTTGTCATCACATAATTCAAACAGTAAGAGCTATGGCCACCAAATGTTTTCTTGCAACTAATGTGACCTACAGAGCATGATTTTTATCATATTAGTGGACTTACTATAATTTTCAAGTCTCAAACAGGGACAGGATTTAATTTTTATTATTACAGTTTCTGATTCTTGTATAATAGTGTTTTCATTTATACAGACTTGTAGGGCATGGCTGGTGTGTACTACCTCCGAATCCACCTATCAGGAGAGGAGGTAAACCTGATTGGGAGCCCCAGGCAATGCTTTATGATCCTCATTATTTTATTAATATTTGCTTTTTTTCTACCTACATTTATATATGTTACAAATTACACTAAGCACAACTATTAAAGAATGAAAAATTTTCACAGATTTTGATATTGTTTTTCTTTGTTTTTTTTTTTTTTGTCCAAATATGTGAATTTGTTTTGTTTACGCTAAGTCTCAAAAAACACTATATAAAATTCACTATTTTTTTTATCCATAATGTTGAATATCATAAATTATTCAACTTTTTAACATCTCAAGTTGATGTTCAAAGTTACCACAAAATATTGCTGATTTATTTAAGATGGAATGATCTATTATGACATGTCTCTAATTTGTATTTAGATACATTGTATTTTTATTTTCAGTTTTTTAGTTGAATTGTTCATCAATATTACATATAATTCATTATTGGGCATAATTAGGTTACAATAAAATTAGTATTTTATATGAATACTACCTTATGAAAATTGAGCTGTAGCAGAGTGAGAGGAGCTGTATCATAGATTTGGTAGAAGCCCATGAGATTCTTGCACCAGCCCTTTTGTAGGGATGACGTATTTTCCACTTTACAGCCTCCTTTCTACAGACACAACATCATTACAGGCCTATCACTTGGTAAATGTTCAGATGAATTCAACTCCTTAGTTTCACAAGACATTTATAACTATGACTCACATTGGTACATCCAGAATCGAATCTGCTACATTTCCTTTGTATTCCAATTGTAAAGAGGAAGTTGACTTTTTCTCAAGAACTGCTACTTTGTGGAACACACTCCCATGTGTATGCTTTCTGAACTCTTCAATCTTAACCTCTTCAAATCAAGGGTCAATCACTATCTGACCTAATAATCTTCACTTCCTTCCATGTCATTTAGTAACCCACTACTATAAGTAGCTCTTTAGTCTTGTTTTGGATGAACTTTAGTTAAAAATATAATATGATCAAATACCTTTTAAGTTTGTAGTCTTCTCACAGACACACACACACACATATGTATATCTCAACATTCAACATAAAATTTATTTCAGTGAACTACACTAATGAAAAAGCTTCAAACAAATTTCAAATATATTCAATAACTGTCAGTCATTTTCCCCTAAAACCTCAAATCAGTCTATCTTGTTTACAATCCTTTATATTGGAAAGACAATAACTTGTGGGTTCTTCTGTGATGCGTCAGCCTTGTTTGAATGTACTTCATTTTATTATATATATATATATATATATATATATATATATATATATATATTTTGCTTGGTGGTTAAAAAGACATTATCAGTCCCACAACAGAAGTATATAAATTACAAACAAATCATATACAAGTTACAACACAATAAGCATAAACAAAAATGATCAAATGATTTAGCATACATTGCAGAGAAATGTTTATATATTTCAAAGTACATGTACATATACAGAGATAAAAATTTTATGCTTATCTGGTCAGATGCACATGATCTGTCAGAGTGCTGTCTCCAGACATCTGCTTCATTTGACTGTTGAATATGAAGAGTGAGAAAATTTGTTTTCTGTTTCAACTAGTGGCAAAAACCCCTGTTCTGGTGCATGATGGGAGTTTTCATATTTATTTAACTATTTTTATAATATCACTTTTTCTTTATTTATTGTTAATTATTATTCTTGCCTATATTTTAAAGTAATTTTATTACTTAACTTTTAATTTTTCTTTTGCTATTTTGGTTTCATACTCCTACATCATCTAGTACTAAGGATTAGAAGTTATTTAGCGATTTATTTGTTGCTATCACTACAAACTCATCAAAGTTAAGGATTGATTTAATACTATATCGATAATATAAATAGGAACCTCCTTTTAAATCAATGAATTAATACTTTTCAAGTTTTACAAGTGTCATGGCATAAAGGTCTTGTTGCAGGATTCACCACTTTTGTAGCAAGGTGCAGATGTTTTTCAATAAATATATAATGGATCTTGGTACATTTGCCTTACAAACAATATTTGGCAGACTCATATGAATCCAGGCAAAAATGAGACACAAAAACATGGATGTTAAACAAGCAAAAATTAATGCATATATTAACAAAGGAAAATTACATTAATGTAAAAATAGACATTAAAAACTTAGCTGTTTAAGAATTGTGCGTGTCTCTGTATGTAGGAGTTCTGTCATTGTTCAACTAGGTAACGGAACATTGCTCAATCGGGACACCTTCATCTACTGTTGTGGCCTTGTTAGGGCCAGAAATAAAGACACAAAGAGAGGAATCAAGTTAAACAAATATATTAACAGAAACAGTAATACAAACAAGACTGTTATAGCAAGAATGTTCAGTCTGACTGTCAGAGCTGACTGCTGGAAACTTCACTCTCCAAAAGGCTGTACCTGCTCCTATTTATAGCTGGGAGAGTCCATGCGTGAATGGGTAAATTACCATAACATCTACATATTGCTACATCTTAATGAAATAGGAAGGAAATGCTTGTCTTTTTATAGAACTTAAACAGTGCCACCTAACAGATTTTTGATGAATCCAGGTGGGGTAACCCACTGTCTTAAGAATGTTATTCTATAAAAATTATCCCTTCAATTTCTCTATTTTTTTTATGATTGGACCAGTCTATTTAAGTAGTACTGTTGCATTAAATATTACTGTTACTGGTATTGGTGGACATTGTTCAAAACATTAAAAAGTTGATTTTGAATCAATCATATTTCAAATTCAGATTTTTATCCAGAACCTGTCTGGAGTCTATGTACCCAGATAAAAAAAAACAACCATCACTCACTCAAGTAGCAGGGTTTAAATGTTTCCATTGGCATCACACAAACAAATTGTATATACAATTTCTACTCACTTTCAGTTTGATACACCAAAAAACTCATGGAGAGGCGCTCTCATGGAGTTGGGCATTAGCCATCCGGATGAGAGGCAGGGAGGGTTCTCTTTGATGGGTAACTGAGAGCTCTTTTGTTTTAGAGGCATTAAAGCCATTAGAGCCATTTCCAGCCCCAGTCAACCACAGATTGGAGGTACAATTTGAAAGGCTCCAGACTACCTGGAGTGAAGCTTGTTTTTGGCTAACACCAAAAGTCTGTCTGTTCTTTTGATTGACCAAAATTCTTTTATTTATTTTCCAAGATTTTTTCTTTTTATTGTGGAAGTTAGGTGTGGGTAGATATTTGATTTTTAAGTGATTTTTAAAATATCTCAAATTTTCCATCATCATTTTTCAATTAAAATGGTAGATCAATGATAAATTGATCGTAAGAATGTTTCAAAAATATCTTTAAGCCTTATTGAAATGCGTAAAATTATTTTTTTAATAGATTTTAATATCTTTCAAATAAAAACAAAATTTCACTCAAAAGGAGACATTTAAATTTTAAATTATTTTAAATGCATTTTTAAGTTGTTTTTTTTAGCTCAAATTTTGGTGGCATCTAGTGGAATCAGTATGAATAGTGTGTACATATGTAATTGTTCATAGAAAGTTTTACAGTGGAATTATGCATGCATAGGAATAAAAGTATGAGAGACATAACATACAATATAAAGATTGAAATGTATATACGAAAGTAGTAAAGAGACAGACAAGTTGTCAGCTAAGAACACTTCTCTTTACTCTTTCTGTAATTCCTTGCATACTAGTGGCACTCTGGGGTGAATTGCTTAAAAAAAAATGTATATAAAAAGGCAACTGACAGACTGCAGGAAGAGATAGCCAGAAATCAGCCCAAGCGTGTCACATGCAGAACTAAACAGTCATCTGCTTAAGACATTTTCCACTCTTTTAGAGGGCTGGGAATACACCACAAATTAACAATGCAGACATTATTTTCAAACTAACCACACTTCCAACAGCCAACAAGATGACAACAACCAAAGTCTGACTTGTAAACTAACAACTACCCAATCAAACAAACTTTTGCCAATCTGATTTGCCCCAACTGAAGTCAAATAAACATTATTTGTTATATCTTTGATTCTGTTCATTTATTCCAAATTTTCAAACAGATATTACCAAAACCCTCTGACATTTCTCCACAGTTCTAGTCAATATTTGCTGAAGGCCATGAGTACAGTAGGCGTGCAAGCAGACATTTGGTACGTTTGGAACATTTCCTAAGTGATATGTGCTATATCTAGTCTGAAATAAAAAATTCTCAGGATTTTAGAACTGGTCTAAGTTTGCCCAAAGTATTTGTAAAGGTATTTGAAGCTAAACTCATGTTTTATCATCTATTTTTAGATAAGCAGTTCTAGATAGTTGCTTTTTACCAAGAAAGTCATTGAAATCTTGTTCAAATGAATGTTAGAAGTCAGTACTACTCAAAGTGTGGTATGTGTCCTAGTACCAGTATACAAGCCATCGTTTACCAGTATGCAGAGTGTTTCCAGGAAACAAAAAACAATAGTCACATTTCATGCCATGGTAGAATATCTGACTTGTTTTTTTATTTTTAACATTTTCATTTTAGTTTTATATGCATTATGATTACATTTTTCAATTACTGATGTTAACAAATGCAATATAATGAATAGCAAAACTGAACTGAAATACATATGACAACACCATCATGATGATGTGTTGTGTGACTGTGTAGGAGCCACATCAAGAAATACCAAAAGGCCATGCAACTGATGGGACGGCATTCAGAATTGGTTACCCAGATAAAGGTGCTTGCCCCAGAATGCAAGTGAACACACTGCTTCCTTCACTGAGATCTTGCAACATAAGAATATATCAAGAGAACTGTAAAAATTGTGAACTATGTAAAATCAAATGCTTTAAATTTGAGGCTATTCACTATATTATGTGATGATATGGAAGCTGATCAATAAAAAGATCCTATATTGCATGTCAATGTACATTGGCTATCAAGGAGAAAAGTTCCATGAAGAGTATTTGTGTTGCAAAATGAAGTTGCCAATTTTCTTCAGGACATAAAGCCAAATTGGTCACAATTATCCTGAAATGTAGATTGGCAAGCAAAGCTGGTTTATTTGGCTGATATCTTTGTCATCTTTAAATGTTCTCAACACTTCCATTTACAGTACATTTTTTATTTACTGATAAATTTATTAATAATAAATTATGTTTTGTCACATAGTGTAAATTTTTTAATCCACTGGGTATGTTAATATCTAAGTCAAATCACAAGAACCTTAGACAACACTTTCTTTAAAATATGCACACTGTCTAAATCTTTTGGATGACTTCAAGTTGGTATTGTATCCCCAGCTGTTCAAGGGAGTCACACATTTTTAATGGGATTGATCCCAATAGTGGAATCACCTTGACATTCCCTTCCTGCATTCCAAACAATCTTACCAGCTTAACTTTGTCATTTTCTCAATCACTTTGTTTGCTATATTTTTTGTGTTAATTTTTATTATTATTATTAATAATAATAATAATAATAATAATAATAATAATAATTTTATCCTTATGTTCGAGTTATAAAAAGGTTTGGGTCAATTAATTGGATTAGAATGTGACAGTTTTTTAGGTTAGATTACTCATGATTGTTTAAAATTATGAACTTATTTCTGCTATCTGATGTAACTATGTATGGAGCTTCCTGTGCAGGAAGCTTTTCTTCATAATTTCCAAATTGACTGGGAGAATGTACATATCTGGCACAAACATTTTAACTTTCACTACAAATATCAAGAGTAAAAATTACTAGAAAGTTTTAAAGAATTATATTTTTCAGTGTTATTCCTCATCTTCAATATGGTGATTGCTCATATCCAAGCACGCCCATCTGCTCAAACCCTTTTGACGTTTGTTCAACACCCACTTGTGACTTTTACTACTATGCTAAACAGACCTTAATTACAGTTCATGTATGTGCCCCACCATGGCTACATATGATTTTGAATTCGGAGTTGTTGTTCTATATTTGTTGCCAACTATGGCTAAAGAGTCCAGTCTTCCTGCTATTGAAGCTGAAGCTGTGGAAGATGAGATGGATTCATACTTGCCCCAGGAGTATTTGTGTGAAAGTGAATGTCACAATCTTGAATGAAGTTTGACCACAGCTCACTGATTTCTTGTTCCAAGCCACTAACCATTAAACATTCTGCACATTCAGAGAATCTATGTCTCTACAAAAATTGGCAATTTTTCAGTTTAGGTGACCAGAAATTGCAAATAATTTTTATTTGGTAAAATAATGATCAAAATACAATTATGGATTTATAGAAGACATTTTATTAAAAGGGGCCAAAAAGTTCACTGCATCATCTAACCCAGTTTTAATTTTACTTTTTATCATTTCACCCCAAGCAAGGCAATAAAGCCACTAAAATACAAGGGGGTTTACTGAGTATTAGAGAATATAAAGAAAAAATAGTTTTTATTAAGGAGAAAGAGTTAAAAAAAAAAAAGGAATTAAGACAGAAGATGACAATTGACATTGCATTTAAGTTTTTGAAGATCAAAGTTGACTGGAAAAACAAGAAGCAGGAATAGAATTCCACAAGTGCAAAAGAAGAAACTGCTAGCATAGAACTTATGGTTACATCTAGTAATTTCAACTGTAAAATGACAAGACCTTGCTATTAATCCAGTACTTTCATAAAGTACAAGTACAACAGTGGAAAGTTCATCAGAACAATTATCATGAAAGTATTTATAGAAAAGGCACAGGGAAGCTACATTATGGTGGTGGGAAAGTGACTGAAGCCAAGATACCAGGTCAGGACAATAACATTGTAGATTCTTTGTATTTTACCGAGATACTCTAAATACATAGCTGAAGCACCAGAACAGCTGTGGCAGCAATATTCAAAGCATGGATGAATGCTAGACTTATAAATGTATAAGATAGATTCTAGCGAGAAAAATTGTCTAGTAAGACACAGTGAACCAACATTCATAGCAGCAGACCTAGCAATTGATTCAATATAATCAAGTGGAAAATGTTAGCCTGAAAAAGTACAATGAGTTACTCTCCTGGAGTTAATCATCAGCCATGCTGATGATAAAAAAAAAACAAAAAAAAACAACACACAGACATTCTCTCAGACCATTAAAAGGGACCAGTTTCATTATATTTTTAAAAATTACTTTTTCACTGGTAAAAAATTTCATTTTTTTTCATTGGAAACTTTTGTGAATCTTTTTTTTGGGAAGATTATCTGAATTAAGACAAATATTACTTACCTTTAGTTTAAAATATTGCATATTAAACAAAGAATATTTTTCTCTGAATACTTCAAGTTATTCCACCGTTTAAGTGAAGGTGAAATCCATTACCTACTTTGATGAAATACAATTTGTATAACAGTCATGTTCCTTAGAGCTCAGTTTACAAATTAGGAGACGATTTTTCCATTTTTCATCTCTGAGAAAAATCAGCATGAAAGGTATCTATCCAACACTTAAAGCATTAAGCAAATGTTTTTCCACTTGCTGGGTCATAGTGAAATTCTGTAATTTTGTTGGCCAAGATATCTGCTGAATTTGTATTTTGGTTTATTCCAGCATGGAAAATTTCGACTTGATTCTAGAACTGTGCAGTCATTGCTGTCAATAACTGTTGTTGTGACTTCTGAAATTGTTCTTGCTGCTGGCATAAAATCTCTGTAAGCATCTCTGGTGAAACTGCCAGGTTGATTTTGAAGTTTTTAATCCCAGGTTGTTGGGAATGAACAAAAACAAATGAAGAGAAAAAGACAAGTTTATTTTAACACATAATAAAATAACTTTTATTCATTTACTGCCCGAGAACAGCAAGGATTGTTTGGATTTGAACCATAAGTTCCACATGCATTTCAGCATCTCATCATTGTATTTTGAGTTACTGTCTTTTATAGGGGAAGTAAGTAGCACCTAGGAGGTATGGTGGAGTAATAGATAGCGGCTCAGATTGAGGAATCGGAGAGCCGAGTTCGAATTCCAGTCAAATCTATTACATTCACTTACATGCTAATACCCTTGGGAAAAGTATGAATCCTCCTCTTTTCCCCCCAGCTATGGGTAAATAGCAGGACAGATTGGGTTCTATAGCCTTGGATGACAACTGGTCTACTGTAGAAAGAAATGGCAATGTCGCAGTGTGCCCAAACACCACTCCCATCCGTTTCTTAAACAACCCCGGCTATGCCTGCTGATAGAGAAAGGTCACGGTCGTTGTGTGCTAAAAATAGCAACGACATCCTTTCAAACCTTCAGAAACACACAAAACTCAATTTTCGCCACTAAACAAAAATAAAAGACCTTTAATTCCGAAACGAAGTTAATGTAAATACAGTCAACAAACTCCGAACACACCTTTGACTGTAATTAATACGGCCCGGAATTAATTACTATTCATTTACTTGTTTAGCGTCACCGCTTTCTCTTGTATGAACCGTCATACCTATATCCCGGAGACTTCGCGGCGGTTTTTAACCGGCCTGGGGGAGCAGGAAGCCTCCTATTCGCGACTTTGACGCTCCCAGTCAAGTCGACCAAGCCCAGCAGCTGTCGGGACCCAGCAGCAGTTGTTCAAACAGTCCTTTTCAGGGCTAACTTCCGAATGTCATTCGATCACCACTCTTCGAGGCTCAACACAGCTAGACGTCTAGCGCCCGTTATCGTCCGGACACCGTTCAAACGACCTCTGTCTGCTTACCATCCACCGTTTGCGAATAAAGACACGATTTCCATCGTCTACAACGGACCATCTGTGTTTGTCATCCTTCTTTGCTATTGCCATCTCCTTGCCCTTGTGTGTCCCCTTTTTAGTTGTACGGTCGATTGGCACTCACACCTCTCGGCCCGCTGCAACAGCAACCTACTGCGGAAAAAAAATCTACCTCGTCAGTCATGTATCAAAAGATACATGATCACCTAAGCGTGTATCACATATGGCACATAACTGACTGAAGTAGCACCTCCTAACACCAATAAATGAATAGTGTTTTAATATTTTTGTTTGTCAATTCTCAAGAACAAAGAAAATGTATAAATTCACTTTCAGGTTTTAACTGTTTAGGTTTTATTACAATCTTAATCATTGCTTTTTAAAACAATAAACATTGCCAAAGTATGAAGATGGTTAAAATAAAAGCAGTGTCATGGGAAAAACCATCCTTTCAACACTCCAATTTTTTGCAGGAATAGAGGTTCATGTTTGCCAAATTTATTATAATTGATCCATACAATATTTTTAGTATTTATGAATTCTACTTTCTAATAATGAATAATAACTGAAATAGATATACTTCTAGTAATATAAGCAAATTATAATAAATATTATCAGACCTTAAATATTTCCCCTAATGCTTTCTATTCCTCCATTATGTTTTGGTGACAGTTTCAGTGATCTGCAATTTTTGGTGTCCTGAAACAAAATACTGACCCAAAATTAAAGATAAACAAAAATTGGAGCCATATCTACTTAGAGAGAATCTACATACAAACTTCATATATGGTAGTGAATGCTAGACAATGTCTTCTGAGATGAAGCAGTGTCTTCAGGTAACAAGAGATGTAGTTCTACAGAAAAATACTGAGAATACCATGGACAGGGCATGTGGGCAACAAGGAAGCTTTAAGGAAAATGGGTAGCAAAAGGATACTTTGAGAGTTGAAAAATGGGCTTTGAGAATCAACATTGAAATGACATACTCAGTTCAGTATGTTACACTGGAAAGAAATAGGCGCAGAGGAAAACAAGTAACCTACCCAACAAGCTTGTGTAAATTGAAGGCAGATAGGTAGTTGTGAAGGGATATAGCACATAAATGAAAACTTCTTCAAAGCAAAAATATATATATATATATATATATATATATATATATATATATATATATATATAGATGGGTAAAAAATTCTTACAAGGGATTTAAGCATAACTTACTACCTGTTAAGTTATCTCCCTTGGAGCCATAAGGCTAAAATATGTTTTTTCGATCGCTTCCATGGAAACAGTGTGGTTGACGGCCGATTTAAAGAACGATTTATTTTAGATTCGAAAAGTAACAATGGCGAAATTTGTTAACGGCAAAATAGCGCAACGAAGAGTGATGCTGTTCTCGAAGAAATACGTCCCTGTGTGCAGTCAAGTGAAAGAAATACTGCGTAGTTTTAACTTAAATTCCCGCATTTTTGAAGTTGTTGAGATTGAATGTCGACAGGACGTTAATCAAATCGAAAATTATTTCCAAATTCTTTGCCTCACCGACCGCAGAGAGGTAATAAAAATATTTATATAGCTAGGTACCACCAATATGGATGTTTTTTGTTTGTTTGTTTTTCCGAAATGAAATAAAAATTTGCTACTGTACGTTTTAAAATATTTTCCAAAATCAGGAATTATCCGATTCAAACAAAAAAAAAAAAAACAAATTTTTTTTTTAGTATTTCATGAATGACTTGTATATACAGTATACCGAATAAATAGGTTATTATTTCATTATAAAACTTTGTGGAACCAGGAAATATTATTTGGGGTGTTTATCAGCATTCATGATGAAAAAAATGTCGCCTAAAAAACAAAATCAAAGTGCTGTTATTAAAGAAAGAGGAATGACCAAAGACATCTTTTATGTAATTTTTTTTTTTTAATCCTTTCTAGAACCTTCTAAAGTTGCTTAAAATTAAAAATCTTGTTTCTCTGGTTTCAACAGGGGACAATAAATTAATATGCGAAATTTGAGTGTCTTTATCGGTGAAAAATATTTATTTGGACTTGCAAGTATCAGATAATTGTCAGATTTTGATGAAACCTTCAGGTCAGAACTTATTCAGATGAATTAAATTATTTTTTAAATGTTTATTTTTTTAGAAAATCTTGGTAAAATTAATTTCTTTTACATTTGTTACCCTACACTTAATTTTATGAAATTTCAAGAAATTCTTTTTTGTAGTTCTTAATGTTTATATGTCAGAAATAATGTCCTAAGGCACGAATGCCTCATTCTCCTCTGCTTTAGTAGCCTTCCATTTAGATTGGCAGAAGTATGAGGGCAGAGCTAAGTTAGAAAATCCCTTTACCCCATGCTCATTGGTCTTTTTATGGCCAATAGCGAAACAAGTTGTTATTATTGTTCCTGTCTGTTATTACTGTGGTTACCTGACCCTAGTGGAAAGGGTCATAAAAGAAGGACGTTTTCTTTTGCAAGCCAGATATTCACCAATTATCTCCACGCTGGTCTATTTCAGTCGAATTCATTTTCGACATAATTTCACTTTTTGTCATAATTGTAATTGATATCATCTAATTAAACCGTAATTAAAACTTAAGCAGGGTACACTACATTGCTCATCTTTTTCTAGCACACGTACTGTGACATATTCGAAATATTACATAGTTCAGGTTCCCTAATGTCTTTTAAGATTGACTTTATGTGAAGTGATCATAAAGAATGAAGATTTTTAAAAGAAGATAAAAATTGCATGCAAAATAAATGTAAACAAACTATGAAGATCAGTTGTGTATACAAAGAAAGATTATACCAAATTAAGGTGTTGTTATGGTCCAATATCCTCGCACCACAGTTATGGTCTAAGGTTAGAACCAAGGAAGAACAACATGAACACAAGAGTAGAATAACAAAGATATATTACAACAGAAATATAGTACAAGAAGTTGAAGTTGTTAGTAATGACTGTCTGTTTGCTTTAGAGTGAACTAATATTGTCTCGACTCGTTACACCATGCATTCATTATACCCCTTGAGAGGCGCAGTATTTATAGTGTCAGGAAGAGTCCATTATCGTTATAGGTAAGTTCCCATAACAGGTGTTGAATAGGGATAAAATAATTTTATTATTACTAAATTTTTATAACTTTTATGTACATAGGATGCTGAAGCTTTCCACAGGAGTTAGCCTAAAGTCTGCCTTAGGTGCAGCTTCTAGGCTAATTGAAAATATAGACTACAGTACACTGAAAAATAAAGAGGTGTACATTTGTAAGTTTTCTTGTATTTTCTTCTTTAACAGGTGCCTCAGTTATTCATTGATCGAAAACATATTGGTGGACCAAAAGAAATTCTGCTTCTGCACCGCACGGGTGATCTGGAAAAAATCTTGCAAAGAATAGCGGATGAAGATGAGGAATTTCAAATTATTAACATGCAAACAAAAGAGAAAGTGATAAATACCAGTGAGGAGACCAAAAGAAATGAACAAATCAGTTTCACCTAAAGAAGAGAGGAGAGAACTTGGTTCATTCAGAAATAAAAGATGACAAAATTGAATTTCTATTGAGGTTCAAGCTCTTATTCACCAGAAACAAATGAGAGATTTGCTAGGGTAATAAAAGAGCAGAGGAAGCCAAGGCAGGGACTGAGAAAATGTGCTTTTTAAAAATTCTATGAAGGACAGGGGACAAATTATTTGAACTGACCCACTTCCCAAAATCAGTACATGCTGATGTTTGGTCATTGAAATACTGATTTGGGGGAGTCAGTCGGGCTAAGCATTTTCCCCCACCTTGTATTCTGTACATTAAAATAAAATAGGATATTATTTATTGGCCATGCAACCTAACACCCACTACTTCATAATGAACTTTTCTGTTATGGTAACTGAAGATATTAATTAATAACAATAGACAAACATGATTGTGTGTTAACAACCTAACATCTTATTAGTTTAGGGGGAAATCAGTTTATTAAAACATTGCTATATGTATGTGCACATATATATGTAATAATTAGCACATATATGCATACCTACAGTTTTGGCGTGTGACTATAGTTTCAAAGGGTGATGTTCCCAGTTCATCGGGTATGAGGTCTATGTTGCCAGAAGTAAACAAATGACTCATGGGAGTTTCACTGCTATATATATATAAATAAAAAGAAAGAACAGTAAGATATATAATCTGGTGTTCTTATAGTTATTTTTACAAAATAGTGCTCAATGTAAATTTACAGAGCATTAATATTATAAATTGATTGATTTAAAATGTTTTTTTTTCACTACACAGTTCTAACCATGTTTCAAAAAAAGAAGCTAAAAGCTTCGAATTTAATTTTGTAATTAAATTAAAGACATTAGTTCCATTTCATTCTCAAGCAAATTTTGGAGTAACTTATTTATTACTGGGTTTTAAAGGCATAGCAAAAAATCATAATTCACGTTTCCAAGGATACAGAGAAATCCATTCATCCAGACAAGGGGTGTTTGTGTGTTCATTATCGCTGTATTTTCTTGTATCAGTAACGTTTTGGTAGGGGCAGGGATGTGTGTGTATATATATATATATATATATATATATATATATATAGCTTTGTATTAGCTTTTAGGAGGATATTCTTACTTTTAATGCATTAAGAAGTAGATTATTTATTTATTTATTTTTTTTTTTCTTACTTAAAATGACAAACACCTGAAGAAGAGCAGAGGTGACAACAGCCAAAACATTGTGACGAGAATATTGATTTAGTCATAAATAATGTCAATTATACTTAAATTCATTCACTGCCATTTTTAATGGCAGGAGTAAACAAGTAAGAAAATAAAAAATATGGCTCTTTAGAAATTTGAAAATGAATCCCTTATTTGGAATAAAGATGGACAAATTCTCACTTCTTTATATGACGACAAACTTGTTACTTACCAATTCTCTCATGTTACTTGAACCACTTTTCTTTTTTCCTTTCTCCTAATATCCATTGGTGTCAACAGTATTCTGGTTAATTACTCTCTAGTGGGATCATCAATAATTGTTGGGATCTTGTTGTTTTTACAGATAGTATATGTCCAATGTCTTCCCTGCTATTTAATCCATAGTAGGTGGATGAGAGAGAAGAGATGAATTCATACATTTACCTAAGGTATTTTTGTAAAAATTAATGAAACAAACTTGAGCAGAATTCAAACACGGCTCACCGATTTCTCATTCACTAATCATTAAACGACCCACACATCCAATCTGTGCTAACAAACTAAAAATTTCATGCAGTCAGAAGAAAAAGTTGAATGATTTTTACAATTTTTTTTTTAACCTCAAGTTTGCAGCATTGAGGTGTAAAACTGACATTCACCATGCAGTGTTACTTCTAACCACACCTCTCTCTACATTATTATTATTATATATATATATATATATATATATATATATATATATATATATATATATATATATAAAAAGAAAAAGAACAGTAAGATATATAATCCAGTGTTCTTATAGATATTTTTATTTTTACAAAATAGTGCTCAATGTAAATTTACAGAGCATTAATATTATAAATTGATTTATTTAACATATGGTTTTTTTTTTGCTACACAAGTTCTAACCATGTTTCAAAAATGGAAGCTAAAAGCTACGAATTTAATTTTGTAATTAAATTAAAGACATTAGTTCCATTTCATCCTCAAGCGAATTTTGGAGTAACTTTTAAAATTACTGAGAGACAGCTAAAATCATAATTCACGTTTCCAAGGTTACAGATAAATCTACTTCAACTGGACAAGGGGTGTCTGGGTGTTCATTATGTCTGTATTATTGTATCCGTTTTTTTAGTTACGTTTTGGTAAGGGGTAGGGATGTATTTTTCAATGAAATCTGACATTCGTTGAATGCATGTCGTCTGGATTTTTTTAAAAATTTATTGTTAACGGCAAAAAATTCTTACGCCATTTTTTTTTCTATTTGTAAATTTAAAGATTTTTGGGGGGGTTTAGGTTAGAATACATTTTATTTAACTACGATTTGAAATATTTTAATTTTTAATTTTTATTACTATATTTTTTTTAAGAACAATTAAATGTAATAGAATCCCTTATAGTATGTAGAATTATTTTTACATCAAGTATGTATATTAGGTTACAAATTTTTTTTTTTTTTGTATTTAAATATTATTTAAGTAAAATTTATGACAATGACGGCAAAAATAGTTACTTAATTTCACTGATTTAGTAAACTTTTATTTTTTATATAAACCTAGTAATATATTGTTTCTCATGTAAGTACAAAGGACATGGGTCATTCAAAAGCTTACATCTTCTGGCATTTCATATTAGTTTTATTTTACTGTAGGTGTTTTATTGGATTCTTTTAAGTGCGTGTAGTACTAAGTAAAAGAAGTTTAGGTTAGAATTCATTTTATTTAGCTACAATTTTAATTACAACTTTAAAATATTTTCATTGTTAGTTTTAATAGACTATATTACTTTATAACAGAAGGAAATGTATTAGAATTACTTATAGTAAGTAAAATTATTTTTCCATATCAAGTATATGTATATTACGATTTTTAAACTTTTATATTTAAATATTATTTAAGTAATATTTATGGCACTTACTGCAAAAATAGCTAATTCATTTCTCTGATTTAGTAAACTTTATTTATTTATTTTTATATATAAACTTAGTAATAAAGTTTCATATGTATGTACATGGGTCATTCAATGGCCTACATCTAGCTTTTCATTATAATACATTTTCTTTAACTACAATTTTAAAAGATGTTTAGTTAGAATTCGTTTTAACTACAATTTTAAATACAACTTTAAAGTATTTTCACTGTTATTTTAATAGACTTTTTTTTTTTCCTAAAGAAAAAACAAGTAAATGTAATAGAATTACTTACAGTATATAAAATTATTTTTCATGTTAAATATAAGTATGTATACTACCTGATCGCACCTTTTTAAATTTATTTTTAAATATTATTTAAGGAAAATTTTTGACAATGACGGCATAAAATAGCTATTTCATTTCTCTGATTTAGTAAATTTATCTGTAACCTTGGAAACATGAATTATGATTTTAGCTGTGTCTTTAAAACCCAGTAATTTTAAAAGTTACTCCAAAATTCGCTTGAGGATGAAATGGAGCTAATGTCTTTAATTTAATTACAAAATTAAATTCGTAGCTTTTAGCTTCCATTTTTGAAACATGGTTAGAACTGTGTAGTGAAAAAAAACATTTTAAATAAATCAATTTATTATATATATATATATATATATATATATATGAGAATAAAAATAAAACATTAAAATTGTAGCAACTCAACGGTTAATTAACCGTTACAAAACTATAATAGCTGATAAGTTGCTTCACTTTTAACTCAATTTTAGCTTACCGTTTTCTCTGATGCACCGAGTACCTTGTCTTATTACTTTTTTTTTTTTTACTTATTTTGTATTTAAAGTGCAAAAAGTTTTCTGTTGGTATATAAAAAATTCTCTCATATGTATATTATTACTTAAATGTTAAGTTTATTAAAGAATAATTATTTTTCTTTAATAATAATATTCAAGCTAGTAGACAAAAATAAATAAAATATTGTTTAATAATAAACTCCCGAAACACCCTGTTGTTTATTTTTTGGTCTACAAGTGCAAAAATCAAAAAAAAAAAATCCCTTAAAACCAAAGTACTGAATAACTTAGTATCATTAAGCTATTAGTAAAATCAAATATTACAAAAATTGAAATAAAATATAGTATTATTAAAATTTAAATAAAAATCTGCCATTAATTATAAGTATCTAAAAATTGATTGATCTCTAAAGAATTCTGAACATTAAAATACTTTAAAAGTCAATTATTTTAAACTAGATCGATGGTTTTATTCTTAAAACCTTTCCAACTGAAAGCTTTACTTTAATATTAAAACCGTTGATTAATATGAAATGTGAGAAGTAAATTTTTAAACACCAAAATACTTGTTTTAGTTTGAAAACATGAGACAGATAAGTTATTTAAGACTGAAACCCTTGATTTAGTATTAAATTATGAAGGTAGGTTAATTTTTCTTTTTTGAACTCCAAAAGCCTTGATTTAATTTAAAAAAAAAAAAAAAAAGAAAAAAAAGAAAAGAAAAACATGAGACATGTTAAAGTTTTCAATACCAAAGACTCATATTTAGTTTAAATTAGCAGCATGTTGATTATTTTAAAAATTTGTTAATATGAATCAGATTTTTTTTTTCATATTTACTGAGGCAACACAAAAAAGTTTGGTATTATTTATAGGTTTCCATCTATAACCTGTTAATGCCCATCTGAAAAAATGGGATGGTGGGCATCATTTGATTAAACAAATGTGTATTTTCAGCAAACATACTGAAAGAAAAAAAGAAAGTCAAATGGTTTTACTTGCATTAATGTTTTAATATCTATATCAAAATGTAAAGAATTACACTAATTTCAAGTTGTTTTATTTTGGTGAAATTTGTGCTTATATGAAAC